ACCCCCAACCCAAAAAAAAAAAAAATTAAAGAATGAGCCAGGGCAACCCCTTCGGGTCCCCTCCCACTGTGGGAACTTTTCTGTCCTCTCAATAAATCCTGCTTTTAAAAAAAAGAGCTGGGTCTGGTAGTGCCTGTAGTCCCAGCTACTCGAGACGTTGAGGCAGGAGGACCACTTGAGCCCAGGAGGTTGAGGCTGCAGAGCCGTGATCGTGCACTGCCCTCCAGCCTGGGCAGCAGAGACCTGGACGCAGAGAAAAGAAAACAGTCACACCTCTCCTCTGCCTGGTGCCGCCTGTCGTTCCAAGCGGACTCCTTGCTGACTGGACTCTGCCTCACCGGCCTCCTGCCCAGTCCCTGCCCACCCCAGCTGCTGTCTGTCCCTGTGTGGCCAAGAGGCCTTTGCTCCCGCCGTCCCCCCACTGCGCTGGGCTGTGCTTGCTGCTCTGTTCCTCTCCCAGGCCCTGGCCTTGCTCAGGCGCTGTGTCCATCCACAGAGGCGTGGGCGCCATGGAGATTGTGGCCATGGACATGAAGGTGAGCGGCATGTACATCGCACGCCAGCTCAGCTTCTCAGGCGTCACCTTCCGCATCGAGGAGATCCCGCTGGCGCCTGCTTTTGAGCGCATCTACAACCGTGCGGCACTGCTGGTGAGTGGGCGACCCCGGCGGGGACCCCAGCTCTCCACGAGGCCTCTGCGACCTCCAGCATTTTGTCCCTAAGGACGCCACAGCTTTGTCACTGCCAGAACACTCGTCCCACTGTTGCCTTGGGTGGGAGCCAGGTCTCAGTGCTCTTCCAAGCAGGGGTGGACGTGGATGTGGCAGCAGGGATGCAGCCGGACCCAGCTTCCCACAGTTCTTGCACTGCCCGGGTCCTGGGCTGTGGCTGTGTTAGGTGTCCACGCCACGTGGGCCGTGTGGCCTGGCCGCTCCCTCTGCTTTTGGATGAGTTTCTTTCTCGCTGTCGAGCGCATGTGAGATGATTGCTCCAGGCCCCTCCTGACGTTGGGGCCGGATCCCAGGACAGCCGCCCCATGCCCTGGAGTGCCCTGGGCCACTTGGAGAGCAGTGGCTCTTTCTCGGGGGCGTCTGGGCACGGCAGGGTGCTGGGCAGGGTGCTGAGCAGCGTCCCTGACTTCCACCCCCCACTCCGCGCCAAAGCACCCCCGGTCGTGACACCCACACACATTCCAGACAGTGCCCATGTCCCATGGCCAGGAAAACCCCTCTGATATCCCGAGAGCGGCATGACCACGCCCCCAGGCCTGTGCTTTCCGAGAGAGCTGTGCCCGCCTCCTGCCCACACTGCCTGGGGGTGCCTGTTCCCCACAGCTGTGCCAGCCCCGCATCTCTTGCTTTGGGTGCTTTCATCGGTCTGGTAG